AGATTATGACCCCTAATATGTGCGGAATGAATGCAACACTTGATATCAGTGACCACGGATCTTTTATTGCAGATAAAACCGACAATGAGGGTAGTGCGACACCTAGTGTCACAATCAAACCTAACACAAGTGGTTTAAGACATCCTTCTGCATTAAGAAAGCCAATGAGTGTTCGACCCAAAACAACTAGACCAAAATCAAAATCGCAAAGTACTTTGGATGAGGAATCAGTCGGTCCTAATCAAAATGGTTCCAAGCATCCATTCAATTTGGGGACCAGAGCATATAGCTTCGATCTGGATAATATCCCGGAAGATTTTGATCCATTTTCACCCAAAAATGCGCTCAAACCTAACCCCAACTCTCGAGACCAACAAGATTTACAAGGAGCAGTGAAAGAAGATTCAAGTCTAGATGCTCTGAACACTTCTGCAAATGTGAGTGTGTTCGAACTAGCGCCACAGGCCTCGAATTACGCTTTACGCGAAGTGGATGTGACCTTTGGGAACTCGGCTTTTGTTGACGGCTCAAAATTACTCGAGCAAGGTCAGCTTGACCTTGACTTTTTGGAACAGCAAACACCAGGTGGTATTTCTGGCGACCTTCGTAAACAATCCCTGTACATGAAATTCGATCCATTACTACAAGGTCTCGTAAACCGGCAATCTCTTGTTTTACTCGGGCGAAAAAGCGACATTATTGATTTCACAGGCCGAGTTACGCCAGTTCCAGAAGATGTCGCCGAAGAGCCAGCTATAATCAGCCCACGAGAACCAGATTTGTTATGTGACAGTCCGTCGCAAATTGGAGTTGACCAGAGCATTTTTGAAGCTTCAAATGTAGCTCGTGGATCTGCAAGTGACAGTATTGGAAGTGTGTCGCCCGGATTTCAACATCCTACAGCTTTAAAGCCCGATAACGGAATAATTGAAGTTTTAAAGTACTCAGAAGCAGATATTCAACGAGTTTTGAAACGTAAAAAAGAAAAGTGGGCACTAGAGCGCGACGAGGCTGAAAAACGGTACAACGATTTAGTCGACGAGACTCGCTCTGCGGAAATCGCGGCGAAAGATTGTGTAGAAAGATACGAAAAAAGATTGAATGAATTAGAAGAGGAAAAGAAGCATAATAAAGAAGAATTCACGTTTTATACTGAAGAGAAAAAGAAGATTGATTTGAAATTTAAGAATCTCACTCGCTCTTCCAGTGTATTATTTCAGAAAACGGAAACTCTTCAAAAAATGACGACAAATCTTCAAGCAAATGAGTTGAAACAGAAGGAATATATAACTGAATTCAGGTAACATATTTAAATCTCGGCGCTACAGAATTGTATATCAAAGCAGGAAATCGCAAAAATTGTGCAATGACGAGCCTTCGCCGTGAGGTGTACTTCGCAACGACTTATCCTGAATATACCAATTGAGATTACCGTGTTTGATGTTTACCGATTTTACGGACGAGCAGGCGCGAGTTTAATTAAACGAGAAAAAACGCTTTGTGACTGCACAGGTTGCAGTGGCTTCAGGCTGTCCCCGTAAGGGTTAATATACAATTCATTGACTAGTGCTGTGACTCCAAAAAATACTTCTGTCAAACTTGTAAATCTGAAACCGTAAAAAACTACAGTAAAAAGTAATTGACAATTTTAATGCTTAGTTCCATCCTCTATTCAGGGCTAAATGTATGGCAAGTCAAAAGAAGAGCATTGAATTGGAAAAAGAAACAACAGAAACATTGAAAAAAATCAGCGCTGAAAAGGCTGAAGTTGAAGCCAATTTTGCAGCACAGGTACTTTTTTAACTCTTCAAAATTTTTATTGACTAGTTGTGGAAGAAATATGGACAGAAATAAGTTAATCAAAAAGCATTTTCAAAATGTTCTTATTCCTCCTCATTATACATAAAAAAATGCTATTTATTCAGCATTAATTGGATTGCTAGCTAGTCTTGCGCGCAAGCCTCACTCCTCCTTTTATACAGTTGAAGTACCGGTAGTTTATAATGTATCTTAGTATTTCTGTAGCAGGGGGGGAGCCAAAATTTAAAAAGGGGAGGGGGGGGTGTTCTGAAATTTTTTTTGCCAAGTTGGATCAAAACTGCTAACGGGACCAATCGAGTAGCCTAGTCTTGTGGGTCTGAAAAGCATTTAAAGCAACGGAAAATGGCCATCAATGATACAGAAAAATGATTTTATTTTTTTTTACATTTCAAAAGGGGGGGGGGGGGTTGACCCACAAAACCACCCCCCTGACTACGCCACTGTTCTGTAGTAATAAAAAATATTGGTGCTCCCGGAGTATGCAAACCAAGATGGCGGACATCGGAACGTAACATGGGTATCAGGTTAGGGTTAGGCGATAATTTCTTTCCAATTTTCCTTATTTTAGTCCTATTAGCAGTTCGAAGACTAGCCAAGAGCCTCCCGTAGTATTTATACCTAAATTTATGGCCTAACCCTAACCTAGTACACATATTACATTCCGATGTCCGCCATCTTGGTTTGCATACTTCGCGAGCCCCAAATTATTAGTAATACCACAGCAAATACAAAGAAAAATTACTCCCTGTAACTCTCACTGGGATGGATCTACCTGATTAGGAAACATGGCCTCATCGTATTTTTCATTTCTTAGCTCAACAACATACAAATGAAGATCCGTACTGTCGAATTGAGAGTTAAAAGTTTGCAGACTGAACTTGATCATAAGAAAGATGACAACAAGGAGTTGATGAAACTGTGTGATGAATTAGTCGGGATGCAATGAAATGGATATTCTACTGCCATCTAATTACAATGTTGTGCTGATTTGAGTTAAATTATCCAAAACTGAGTGCTCACTCCAGCCCTCTCACTTTATACAACTGCCTCCTGTGACCACAGACTACGAATAAATTTGAGTCGAAAGCAACTCTTGGTTATAAATTTTGACTGTTGACTTCAGGTTATTATGAAGAAAATTGAAATCCGACTGCCAATCCTGATAAAACTAAATTTCGATTGAAGTGTCTGCATGCCTTCTTTATATCTCGAGAATGCTAAGTCAATTAATTACTAGAATCAAAAGCATATTCTAACACCCGAGACAGTTTGAAAATAGCTCATATAACAGCCCTCTCGAACTAGCGCCAGAACCCACTTTCCGAATCCTTAGTACCAGGGTTCTGAATCTATATCCTTATCAAAGTTGTAAACTTGTATAATCAGGTATCCGCATCCTCCGGTGAACTGAAGCCAAGGACCCTATTTCCAGATCCCTATCCAAAGTTGTATGCTCGAGTATTGAAATAAAATCTCCACTTTGTTGGTTTAGGAATATTTCTATTCTGCTTGTACTTTCTTGTGGTCTATTATCATTTCTTTATTTTTCTCGAACCTTTTTCTTTTGCTTAATTAAACATTCTCTATATTGGAAAGTGTGGTTGTATGTAGCTTGTGTGATGTCAAAACGGTACTCATGTGATGTGGCGGATAGGGTTAGGCCATAATTTCAGGTACAAATACTACGGGAGTCATGTGACTAGTCCTCGAACTAAAATTAGGTAAATTGGAATGAAATTATGGTACACTTACTACGTTCTGGTGTCTGCTATCTTGGTGCACGTACTACGGGAGCGCAGTCAAAACGGGATACTAATGTTCCCCTTACAACAGAAAGTATATTTTGGAGGATGAATGATAATCTCATCCTGTTACTAGTCCATGTTGGTCGGGTATGAAATAGCCAGTTATTTATTTTCAGATGCATGGACTTGGTGGTGGAAGAAGCCGTAACCAACTGGTGCTTACGTGAACCACCCTGCAATGGAGAGAAGTCCTGCAATCGTCTCGCCCGTAACAATCTACATACAGTGTGGACAGGGGCATTATCCAGAAATTTTAGAATGAAGAGCTCTGAAATTTCTATTTACCAAGTTAGATCGAAACAGTTAGCGGGGTCCGGCCGAACGCCAGAAAACGTGTGTTTTTGTGTATCTTGTGAGTCTGAAAAGCGTTTTAAACTTCGAAAAATTACTATGCATGATACAGAAAGATGCTATTTTTTATTGTGAAAGTGAAGGGGGGGGGGGGGGGGGGGGTCCAACCCCCAAAACCACCACCCTGGCTGTGTGTGGGCTCTGTCTAATCACCAACTAGAAATTGTTAATAAAATGACACACAACATCTGCTTATTTTATATTACAAAACAGTGACTTTACATTTGTGTATTTATAGTACAGAACCCAACAAATTTTCTATAAATCACAAGAACGCAAATAGGAATTTCCTCTATCCACTCCAAACAAGGTTTATATAAGCAAGTTTCATTCTCAGGGACGTAGCCAGTAATTTCTAATTGCCAAGTTAGACCGAATCAGATAGATAATCATGTGAATATTCAGGTATTGAAGGTTTAAAAAGCGTTGCAAGCTACTAAAAATTGGGGGCTCCCGAAGTATGCGAACCAAGATGGCGGACATCGGAATGTAATATGTGAACTAGGTTAGGGTTAGGCCATAATTTTAGGTATAAATACTACGGGAGGCTCTTGGCTAGTCTTCGAACTGATAATAGGACTAAAATAAGGAAAATTGGAAAAAAATTATCGCCTAACCCTAACCTGTTACCCATGTTACGTTCCGACGTCCGCCATCTTGGTTCGCATACTTCGGGAGCACCAAAAAAATGTTACGTATGACACAGATAAATCCTTTCTTTACAGAATGACATGGCAATCAGTCAACCTCCTGGCTATACCCCTGGAAAGGAGATTGTCCCAATGTATATAAATGCTGCTCGTAAAAAAACTTTTTTGTAGTATAAGGCGTAAAAAAAATCTTGAAAAAAAAAATCCAGATAAATGGCGTCCACCATCCAAAAACTCGAGTCTTCATTAAGAAAACTGATCATTTTTCCAGAGAATATCCAAAGGACGGTTATGCATATTCGGAAGCAAAGGAGACTCATTATTGATGGGAGCGTCAAGAAAACTATTGTTGAGTAATAAGCCGGACTACAAATTCAGTCACTATTTTTACTTTGTTTGCTCGCTGGAAAAAAACAAGACAAAATTTGTTGGGTTGAAAGAAAAACACAGTGCGATTTAAAGAAATGAAATTATAAAAACTAAAATCATGTTGCTTCTTCAGCCATGGATACGCTTTGTTCAGCGTCCGGAGGGCTCTCTTCTTGTTTTGCAGGCTCCTCCTCAGTCTTTTCTGGCTCAGCTGACTCCGCTGCTGGTGCTGCTTCCTCTGGTTTAGTCTGAAATAAGAAATTTTTGTATTAATAGGGTAGACTCATTATGTCTTATACTATAAGCGAGCTTGTGTACCAAGTATGACAATGATTAATAGGACTGACATGCCTGATGCATGTGTCCAAATGCTTGTTTCCATCAGACTTTAAACTGCTTGTGCTAATTCCTCAGACCGCTGTTTGCTTTCGCTTTTATTATTCTCCACTAATTACTAATTCGGATTGGCGAGGATGGGGTATATGTGGCTTGCTTTACACATGATATTCAGAGCGTGGGAAATTACAATATTTGTTATACCAGACGATTCAATATTATTTTCAACAGAAAATTTATATCCATCAAAATATAGTCATAATTTCAGTAGAGTCAAGTTGGCCGGATACAGCCCTCGTGTTATTGTCCACCCCTATTCTAGGGAGAGCAACCAGTAAAATATTTTACCTCGTCAGCTGCAGCCTCTGGAGCGGATTCAGGTTCTGCTGGTTTGTCTTCTGATTTCTGTATGAATAATGTAGGATATGTTAAGCGGGTACGATTTCCTCATGTTTACTACAGAGTTAATTCCTCAGGGACAAATAGATGGTCAACCGTTCCCATGCCTACCTAGGACTTGAAAAAAAAACACAGGCCCTCAATCTTTATTTGAACAGGGAACATTTACTCCTGATATTGATGTAAGTATAAGTTTATTTTGACTCCATAATCAGCATAACAGAGGATGAAATAATTGATAAAAAAATAAATAAAATAAATTATGGAGTCAGGAGAGCAAACAAAACACTGAGTAAGGTTTAAAACGTATAGATTTTAAATTGGAAGGTTTTGCCGAAAGAAGTGGTACGTTTTCACGCACCTAAAAGAATTAAATTAATTCCCTCACACACACGACCATAGATTGAAATAAAATCTAAGCTACCAGTACATTGTATGGGAAATAGCTCATACCTCTTCAGTTGCAGCCTCTGGAGCAGATTCAGCCGGTTTGTCTTCAGATTCCTGTAAAGAATATTGTAAAATATATTTTTTTCAAGGTAGTTCAACAGTTATTGTGCTACATCAGGGGCGTGCAACCAAATACACCCACAGGGAAAAATTGTGTGGCCGGCGAAGAAGTGCCAATTCTGCATGAGGTGCGGCCCACAAAATGTTTTTTTTTTGTTTAGTTTGATCGTGCAGGTAATAGCCTACCCAATTTATTACACTCGATTCAGATGGATGGGTGCGGATTTGACATATTTATCCCGGGGGAGAAAAAAGGTGATAAAACAGCTGAATAATATCGCAAATCACCGCCACCCATACGGTTACCAGTCAATGACGTGTTAGCCAAATATTTTTTTCTAGATGCATGAACTTGATAGTGGAGGAAGTATGGTGATCAGAGGTGCGGTTCGGCACATATTCATAACACGAAGCGCTATGTGCCACACCATCGACCCAATCCCATCCCAGGGGGGCATTGGATTTGCAATTGAGATCTATGCAAAGTCAACTTACCGTTGGTTTCTCTTCCTCTGCAGCTGCTGGCTCTTCTGCTTTAGCTTCTTCTGTTACTTCCTGTGAATAAAGAAATAAAATGAAAACTTTATTTCAGCATTTAGAATTTGCATAATTATCAGAGAGGAGAGCTGATAAAACAGCTTAATCACATGGCAAATCATGGACTCTTGTTCGATTACCAGTCCATTTCGGTATGGGATTAGTTAGCCAGTTATTTGTTATCAAATACATAGACTTAATAGCGAAGGAAGCCTAACCGACCACAGGTTACGTGAACCACCCTACAGCAGTGACGAGTCCAACAATCCTCTCGCATTAAATTATGCATGTATAGGATTCGAATCTGCGAACCCACGCAGAGGAATCAATAGTGCGATAGCGAGTGTTTTCCTAATGCTTAGCGCCGCCACATTTTTTGCAGAAATGAGAAAACCCAAACTTTAACTCAACTCTGTATAGAAATCCATAGCATCCTATGAAGCCACAATAACCTTAATTTTTTTGTTGAGCTATGAATCCACTCCACATCTTTATCTGTCCTTTCCAGATCTTAGCCAGTCCGAAATATCGGATGGGGGGGGGGGTGCCAAATTTGTTTTTGTATTATGATGTAATACAATGCTTACTCGTGCATTTTCCTCCGAACAAAGTTAGATAAAAGCAGCCACATAATATGAAATATAATATATAGAGTAAAAAATATGGTACTCATGTGGTGTGTGTACCAGGTTAGGGTTAGGCCATAATTTTATTGCGATTTTCCTTATTTTAGTTCTATTACGAGTTTGGGGATCGTCTTTGTTAGCCAAGTGGATATACCCTCTGCCCATAGGTTTCAGTCCCTTTACCCAACTTGAAGTAAAGTAGGCGAACAAAATTAGTTACCTCCATATTGGTACACACACTTCTGGAGCGCCAAAACTTTTTGTACAATTGTACTTACCGCAGGTTTTTCTTCCTCCGTAGCTGCTGCTGGTTCCTCAGTTTTTGTTTCTTCTGCTGGTTCCTGTGATGAAGAGGTGATTTTATTTTTTTTGGACAAAAACTGGAGGATGGCTGAAACTAGAGATGTGATGTCATTATTTTGGACAAAAAATGGAGGATGGCTGGACTCCTCGCCGTCGTAGGGTGGTTCACGTAACAAAAGAAAAGATGACTCCCGAACTACACTAATTCACTAACCATGGAGATAGCGGTGGTGAGGCAGTTTCACAACAATACCATTGTGAGATGCCCATGGTCTAACAAGAGCAATATACGTCAGATTGTGACGATCCTATCCTTCCTGCTACACCCATATAAATATTGTTTAACTGAGACTCAAAATTTTGAACGTCTACCAACTCAGTATATATTTACACATGTCCAGGGCCTTGTGTAGATAAAGGTATAGAATGTGTCCAATGTATAATCGAACGTAGCTTTGCTTGTTGTCTTACCTCTGTTTTAGCTTCTTCAGCTTGTGGCTCTGCTGCTGCAGGTTCAGCCTCAACTTCTGCTGCAGCAGGCTCAGTCTCAACTTCTGCAGCAGCAGGCTCAGCCTCAACTTCTGTTGCAGCAGGCTCGGCTACTTCCTGAAATGTAAAAAACATTTTCAATTATGTAATTTTGGTAATGCCTCAATCGTGAATTCAAATCAGTAGTAGGATTCAGCCAGTTCGCACCGGTTTTATAGAACTGTCTCACGGAATTTTATGAGATCAGCGAACCGGTTAGCATTACTTGTTACTGTAAATGTTCTGTTTGTAACAGAACCGGGTGAAAAATATGACCTTTGTGATGGAACCGGCTGACAAAAAAATTGAATCCCACCACTGATTCAAATCATTTTTCTTCAAATGTCATTAGACTCCTTTTTTTTCCCAGGCCTGTGTATCTGTCTAGGTTTTCGAAACTAGGGCCAGAAATTTTGCCCGTCTACACTGGCGAGCCATGCAAGTGTGACATAACAGTTACATTTTATGAACAATATTCACAGTGTTGCAAAAGCAAAAGTGGAAAACGATTAGCCTCGTGCTGAAACTAAATTTAATCGCAATCACAATAATTTCCTTGATCTATTTTTTAGTTAAAACATCAAAATTTGGTTTTTAGTTTGGTTGTGGCAGCATCAGGCAGGCCAGAATGAATTACCCATCAGGCCAGATTTGGCCCACGGGCCGTAGTTTGTCCGTGTTAGGTCTAGAACGCGGCGATGTGGCTCAACGGGCTAAGTGTTTGGAATACGCTCGCCACCGCACCTCTAATTACTCTGCATGGGTTCGCAGGTTCAAATCCCATGCAGGGATGGTTATGTGTGAGAGGATTGCTGAACTCCTCGCCGTCGTTGGGTGGTTCACGTAACCGCTGGTCGGTTACGACTTCCTCCAACACCAAGTCCATGCTTCCGAAAACAAACAATATAACTAATCCCATACCCAACTTGGAATGGTAACCGGACGAGTGGCCGTGGTTCGCCATATGGATAAGCCATCTTATCGGCTTTCCTCTCCACCGGGATAAATATGTAAATCCTCCTTTTCTTATCCTCCTCTAGAGCCTTATGTAAAGTGAAATAATTTAATATTTTTTCTATCAAAATCAGGCCTTCAAACCTCAGTTTTTTCTTCTGTCTTTGTTTCTTCAGCTACAGCAGGGGCATCAGTTGTTTCAGCTGCCAGTGTCTCTCCTGTCACAACTGCTGGAGCCTTTATAAAAGAAAATAAGGATTCATGTCTAGGCTAATGCAACCAAAACAAATATTCCTGTACACAGCACAGACCAACAACTGAACAAGAAAATATGGATTGAGCCGCCTTAGCGTCTTACCCGTCCGTGCCTTGCCTTTCCCTGGCTCGGCGGTGTGGGGCATCGTGCTAACGTTGGCAATATACTTGCCAAATGCTTAAAAACAAATAACTGGCTAACTAATCCCATAACCGACATGGAATGGTGACCGGACAAGATGATGTGGTTCACCATAGGAGCCTCTCTCCCGGTAACTATGTAAATCCTACACTATCATTAAACCGGTAACTATTCCTCTCTCCCGTGATGTTTAATCAAAATCCAATTCTTTCTCATTTCACCTAATGCATCACTATAGTTCTATATGGGTTCAGTAGTTCTCTGCATTTTAGTGATTGTCGATAATTTTCCTTCTGAGCGAGTTCATGTTGCCTTGTTCTGGCGCTTTTTATACCTTGCTCACCGAATCGAACCTAGTAACCACTGATACGAAATGATGTACTATTTTTTGAGTATTGGAATCTACTCAAAATATTACACCCTGAGTGAGGTGGTAAACATAGGACTCGGACCTGACATCTTTAATAGCGTGTGACGTCAGTTAGGTATAACCAGTGGTGGGATTCAAATTGTCACGGAAAGTCATGCAATGCTAACCGGTTCGCTGATCTCATAAAATTACGTGAGATGGTTCTATAGAACCGGTGCGAACCGGATGAATCCCACTACTGGGTATAATCCCATTAATTACGTTGATGCCTTAAACTTGGAATTTCATATTCATTTTGGAGGAAAGAAGAGATAAAAAGACGACTTAATCATATGGCAAATCACTGCCTCTGGTCAATCCAGTTACTAGTCCATGTCAATTATGGCAATAGCTAGCCAGATATTTGTTTCAGATGAATGGACTTGATGGTGGAAGAAGCCATAACCGACCGGCGGTTACATGAACCACCCTACGGCGGTTAGAGTCCAGCAATCCTCTCGTACATAACTATCCCAGAACCTGCGAACCCACGCAGGGCAACCAGAGATGCAATGGCGAGCGAATTCTTAAGGCTTCGCATGATATGTCATACCACCGAGACTATTGATAAACTCATTGATAATATCTTGTAGCCCTATAACACAGACCCTTGTAACTATTCTTCCAAAGGTCTCCTCATTTTTGTTGAGGATTGGTGACCTCGCTTTCGGCAAGCTTGAGCTAACTCATGAAAAGCTGGAATTGTCATGCCAAACAAACCTCAGATTGGATAGGTTCTACATCAGCTTCAACTTGTTCTGCTGGGGCTGCTTCGGCCTGTGGTTCCTCAGCTGCTTCCGCCTGTGGCTCTTCTGCAGTTGTTGCCGGAGGAGTCTCATCTTGTTCTGCTGTTGTTTCTGGGACGGCTAGATATAAAGACAGAGGGTTTTAATTCAATTACCAAGTTTTTGCACTCTGAGTGAATAATTGATCACCTAATCCAGCCAGGGACAGGTAAAGGGTCATAACCCCCCCCTTAAAATGTAAGAAAAAATTTTTTTTTATGTATTATTCATAGCAACTTTTCGCAGGTTGGTACACTACTTAGACATTCACGTCGTTAGAAAACACATGTTTTCCGACAGTGTAACAAACACCAATAGAGTGGTTTACTTAACCGCTGGTAGGTTGAAAAAATATGAAAATCCTGTCTCAATATAACTAATCGAACCTCCTTCAGTTGCCTCTGGAGCTGCTTCCTCCGCCTTTTCCTCTTGGGCAGCAACGGGAGCCCCTTCCTGTGCTGGTTGTGATTCTGCAGTTTCGTCTTCTTTCTAATATTAGAATGAATTTTAATTTTCATGAAACTGGCAACTGTCATAGTAAGTCATGTCTTTTCCAGTCGCTAAAACATCGCACAAGTATTCGGGTTATTTAGAGAATTTAGAAAAATTGTCCTGTTCAACATGGCGGAATAAGACAATTATACTTAGTACTGTTCAAGTAAAATTTAGGAATATTGTATCAAATATTTAAAGTATTGCCAATTCATAAAAAGCAGATTTTGCTCATAATTCAATGAATTAAATAAGATGGAAATTTCTGCCAGGAAGCAAGCAAATTACTGATTAGTGATATTGTTCTACAAAATCTACAAGCAAATTTAAAATGGCATGCATCTACTAGGCTATAAAATTTGTTGGTAACCTAACCAGAACAGATTACCTCTTGCATATCCACTTCTGTAATAAGAATTTTAGTACAAATTTTATTATAAATTTGATCCGATATACCCTGTTATTACCGTTTCAGATTCTTGTGGTGCTGGTTCAGGCTCCTCAGCAACTGGTTCCTCAGCTGCAGGTTCTTCGGCAGCTGGTTCAGCTGCAGGTTCTTCGGCAGCTGGTTCAGGTGCAGGCTCTTCGGCAGCTGGTTCAGCTGCAGGCTCTTCTGCGACTGGTTCAGCTGCAGGCTCTTCAGTAGCTGGTTCAGCTGCAGGTTCTTCAGCGGCTGGTTCGGCTGCAGGCTCTTCTGTGGCTGGATCAGCTGCAGGCTCTTCAGCGGCTGGTTCAGCTGCAGGCTCTTCAGCGTCTGGTTCAGCTGCAGGCTCTTCAGCGTCTGGTTCAGCTGCAGGCTCTTCAGCAGCTGGTTCAGCTGCAGACTCTTCTGTGGCTGGTTCAGCTGCAGGCTCTTCAGCGGCTGGTTCAGCTGCAGGCTCTTCAGCGGCTGGTTCAGCTGCAGGCTCTTCTGCGGCTGGATTAGCTGCAGGCTCTTCAGCGTCTGGTTCAGCTGCAGGCTCTTCAGCGTCTGGTTCAGCTGCAGGCTCTTCAGCGGCTGGTTCAGCTGCAGACTCTTCTGCGGCTGGTTCAGCTGCAGGCTCTTCAGCGGCTGGTTCAGCTGCAGACTCTTCAGCTGCAGGATCTTCGGCGGCTGGTTCACCAGCAGGCTCTTCTGCAGCTGGTTCGGCTGCAGGCTTTTCAGCAGTTAGTTCAGCTACAAACTCTTCAGTAGCTGGTTCAGCTGCAGGCTCTTTAGCAGCTGGTTCAGTTGCAGGCTCTTCAGCGACTGGTTCAGCTGCCGGCTCTTCTGCGGCTGGTTCAGCTGCGGGCTCTTCAGCAGTTGGTTCAGCTACAAACTCTTCAGTAGCTGGTTCAGTTGCAGGCTCTTCAGCGATTGGTTCAGCTGCCGGCTCTTCTGCGGCTGGTTCAGCTGTGGGCTCTTCAGCGACTGGTTCGACCGCGGGCTCTTCAGCAACTGGTCCAGCTGCAGGCTCTTCAGCGACTGGTTCAGTTGCAGGCTCTTCAAAAACCGGTTCAGCTGCAGGCTCTTCAGCGGCTGGTTCAGTTGCAGGCTCCTCAGCAGCCGATTCAGCTGCAGGCTCTTCAATAGCTGGTTCAGTTGCAGGCTCTTCAGCAGCTGGTTCAGTTGCAGGCTCTTCAATAGCTGGTTCAGCTGCAGGCTCTTCAGCGACTGGTGCAGCTACAAGCTCTTCAGCGACCGGTTCTGCTGCAGGCTCTTTAGCAGCTGGTCCAGATACAGGCTCCTCAGCGACTGGTTCAGCTGCCGGCTCCTCAGTAGCTGGTTCAGCTGCAGGCTCTTCAGTGGTTGGTTCGTTTGCAGGCTCCTCAGTTGCAGACTCTTCTGCAGCTGGTTCTGTGACAGGCTCTTCAGTATCTGGTTCAGCTGCAGGCTCTTCAGCGGCTGGTTCGGCAGCAGGCTCTTCAGCAGATGGTTCAGCCGTAGACTCTCCAGCGGCTGTGGGTTCAGCAGCAGATGGCTCTTCAGCAGGCTCTGCTGCATCTAGACCTGTCTTGGTGCAGAACAATGACTGACACACAGCAGCATGGTCTAATTCAGCATCATTCCTACTTTGGACCTCGATTGGCTCAATTGGCACTTCAGAAACTTCCTGAGGGGTGGAGACAACAGGTGAAGTTGTTACTGGTGGCTTCGATTGAGCCTGGCGTCCCACCACTTCCAGCAGACCAATGTCTGAGTGTCTGCGTATACTTTCAGGCTGTGATGCTGCATCTAACGTCTCTCTAACAACAAGGGATGATTCACTTGGCGCGTTCAACTCTTCTATTTGTTGCGTATCGCTCTGCACAACGCATAACGAACTAGGAGGGCCGATACTATCTAAACTCTCTCCTGATTGTACAAGAGCTTCTATTAAAGCTGTTTTATCTGTTGTTGCATCGCTTGCTTTTCTCTCGAACGAAGAACTGCTGCAAGCTTGGTCTTGTAACTGCTCTATATCTTTCTGAGTCTGATGTCATCATGTTGATGATGTCACAATTGTATGACCCCATAATTGTTCCCACGATTGTAAAAATGATCAAGCACACATAGCAATTGTGAAGCGGATGTTAGTGGTCCACACAAGAATAGATGAGAAAAAAAAGAGCTGTTGTAAGTTACATGTTAGTGCACTATACCAGGGTGGTCCAAGATTGGCAGCACCGCGGGCCACAAAATTACTTTTGCATTGTTCGCGGGCCACAATAGTGCCAAGAACTTTGCTTGTTTAACTTCGCTAGTTGCCTCAGCAAGCCATAACACTAGTCAATTCAGTGACATTAGTGATGCAACAATATGTCAAAAGATTTTTCGGTTAATTTTATGACGAAACAACACGAAATGCGATTTTTGATTCCTCTCCGAATGCGGCGCAAGTCACAGATAATGAAGTGGCGGGCCACATATGGCCCGCGGGCCTGGGTTTGGACCACCCTGTGCTACACTTTATAACAGGGGTGTTTATTTAACCCTGGATGTGCAACATTTTTAAACATAAACCTGCCGGATCAGGATTTTATGCTCGATGGAGTGTTGACAAGGCCACAGTAAATGGCATGGCGGGCAGGGTTGCAACCCGCGAGCCGGCTTTCACTCACCCCTGGTCTATAAGCATATTGTGTTAAGCACTACAAGCAATAACTTTAATGATAACTATTATAATTACATCAGGCAAGAGATTTTTTAGAAGCTGCCATGTAGAAGATTGAATTAAGTTTCTTCCTAGAAAATTGAGGCTCAATTTTCATGGCTTTCAAATTTAAATAAATATCTTTTTTGGGGCTCCCGAAGTATGCGAACCAAGATGGCGGACATCGGAATGTAATATGTGTACTAGGTTAGGCCATAATTTTAGGTATAAATACTACGGGAGGCTCTTGGCTAGTCTTCGAACTGATAATAGGGCTAAAATAAGGAAAATTGGAAAAAAATTATCGCTTAACCCTAACCTGTTACCCATTTTACGTTCCGATGTCCGCCATCTTGGTTCGCATACTTCGGGAGCACCTCTTTTTTTAACAATATGAAAACCCAATCTGGGGAGATTAGAGTGATTAAGCAAAAGTGAAACCAATTCCAATGTTCAAAAGACACTCGGCCCCAGCAAGTGTGCATGCAATTAGTGAAAACACTCTACAGCAGTGCTTGCCAACCTTTTTCAGTTCGCGACCAACTTTTATCGGAATTTAATAGTTTGTGACCCACTTTTATGGCCGTTTTTCCTGTACCACTCACAATTATTATACCAGAAAAGAAACAATGCAATTTACTATTAATGCGAAACTTGATCTTGCATATTGGATATTATCAGATCAAGTCTGATAAGGATGCAAAATTCTAATTGTTACATCGTTTCATAATTTCCCGATCTAATCGAAAACTGTATGTAACATTTGAAAATACCTCCGACTGGTTGGGAAGCACCGCTCTACAGAATAGACTTCTAGATGAAGTGAAATTAAATTGGTTGGGATTGTGAAACACTAGGGTAAGTGTTATGGCATGCTCACATCAGATTGCTGGTCACCCTTTGCCACAAGTGCAGACTTTTTTCATATGGTTTTTGAACACACTAATAGGGACCTGACATTTCAAAGATCTAAAACGCAGAATTTCAAAGCAATTTGAATATGCAATATGTTCTGGACATTCCAGTTCTAAACCCAAGTAAGAGGGCGATGTGTGTCATGGGATGCGAACCTTGTGAGGGGTTACCAGCAGTATAGTGATGGTTGTGCTCACAACACTTTCAAGAGCAAGTAAAACTCAAACTCATGCAGTCTACAGATGGGTAAAGAATTAGAAAATGAGACTCACAGGAGCCTTGGAAGGTGATATTGATTTTCTTGTCTTGAATCCCCGGAATGATGCTTGGATCATGGTAGCTGCTTTTTGAACCTCTGGATCCTCTGTTGAGAAAAAAAAATGATTTTAATATTTATCCCGTGCAATTTATTTCATAAAGATGTCCAACACCAGATACCCTACTATTTTATATACATTCTAAATACAATAATTTTCAAATGAGGAAATCGCTCCCAATTTAAACTGCGCCCAGTAATGTCTCGTTACACTAATTGGCACAACACGATTTAAAGATCTCAAAATGTTATGCCATTATGTTGTTTTGTTGACATTGCCATTATTCTTTGGGTCAACATGTGTACAAACTTTGAACATTGTAAAATACACATTTACAATCAAAAAATTTACATTTAGTTATGGTCAGCAATTTATTTGGGGAGAAGTGCGCCATGAGTTTTTCCCCCGATAATTTGGCGCAGCATAAAGGAAAAGTTTGGGAACCGCTGCCCTAATCCATACCCAATGTGAATTACGCAGATATGATGAATAAGGAGAACCAATAAATAATACTGTGCGATGTTTTTGACAATCGGAAGATTACAATTTCGTTACTGATTGCCTAGAGCATCAGAGTCCCCCCGATATTCACCACTATGTATAAGATTGACTATCAATTAATAATTGATGTAAACGATTCAAAAAAGCTAAACCAATGTGAATTGACTAGTTCCTTTTACTGAGTATTTTCACTTTTGGTTATAAAATGGTTAAAGCAGAAACAACTCACCAAGATCAGGCATTTCTTCTTCTTCTTCTTGTTGAGTAACTTGCTCATCTTCAGCCGGAGCTGAGACAGGTTCCTGAGTGACTACTTCGTAACTTTGTGGTGCAGGCTCTGGTTCTGCTTCCACTGTGCTTGGTAAAGTGACTTCTGATTCTACTATACGTTCGTTCACTAAGTATTCATCTGCACGGCCATCTGGAAATCGATGAATAATGTTAGGATAAAGATGACTAGAATGGATCAAATATTTCCACCACTTCGGGCTCACAAAACCACCTTGTCAGTTTTCGAGGTTACTAATTTTTTCACCTACTCTACATCAAGTTGTATGAAGGGACAGAAGCCTATGGGCACGAGATATATTCACTTGGCTAATACAGACAATCCCCAAACTCGTAATAGAACTAAAATAAGGAAAATTAGAATGAAATTATGGCCCCAACCTGGTACACACACTACGGTACCTTTTTCCTTTCTAAGAGATGAATACATTCAAGTCAAATGCCCAAAACCTATGTTCGAAATGGAATGAGCATTTATCAATGACTGGGGGCCTCCTAATATAAAAAAGCCAGCCTTAAATCCCAAGCCACAAGCTGCAGTCTGGTCCTGTTTGGAGCTCAGCAGACCCATAATAATAGAATATGATCCTTTATATTTAACCCAGGGGGAAAGAAAACCTGTTAAGACAATTTTATCATATGGCGAACCACGGATCCTTGTCCGGTTACCAAAATAGTTCAGATATAGAATAGTTGATATTTATAAGTTTATGGTATAAGTTTCAGAAGCAATGGCAACATTAACACAAATATAAAACAATGTTGAAAGATTGTAGCGCTACAGTGACGAATATAAAATTATGTCCAGCCAGCATTATTAGGAACCAAGCAACGACAGTGAGTACATCAGTTCTTCCGAACCTGTCAAGAGCCTTACAATGTAATCATTTGCCATGGCAACCGTGTTTCTAGCGATAAGCACGATGTGCCTAGCGCACCCGTTAGGAATAACGATGGATAAACCTTGTGAGCAATCAAGTCCGAATGGTGCGAAGTGTGTAACGAAAATCGTCGGATTACGGCTTCCTCCACCATCAAGTCCATGCTTCCGAAAACAAATAACTGGCTAACTAATCCCATTACCTGGACTGGTAACCGGACGAGAGGCCGTGGTTCGCCATATGATTAAGCCGTCTTATCGGCTTTCCTCTCCCCCGGGATAAATATGTAAATCCTCCTATCCTATCCAAATAATAACTGGATAACTAATCCCATACCCGACATGTAATGGTAACCGGTCAGGAAGACGTCATGTTCAGGTCACCACACGATTAAGCCGTCAGTCAGTCAGTGGTTATTTTTTCATGCAAAAGTATACATTGTAAATACAGAATAAGGAAAATATCATCATTCTAGTTCTATATCATTTTAGTGTGAAGTTAGACACCGTAAACCGTCCTAATGGGCTTTCTGATTCCCCGGGATAAATGCCTGTATGTTACCTTCACGCTTCTGCAGTAAATGCTTGAAATACGCGGCGGCAAATTCGGGAATATTCTTGGGTTGTTCACGCAGTATCTCCCTTGCTAGATGTTCCAGAAGACTTTTAAATCCATGCGGAACTTGAAGCTTTATTGAACCGTACCTGACAGACATCTCGACGTAATCAATTCTGGAAAAGCAAGAGAAAATTTTGGGGTTATTTTGCCCAAAACAAAGCTGATTTATTTCTTATTTGTTTTTCCGTCTTTAATCAACCGATTAAGATGGCACACAACCTGATAACCCTAACCTGGTACACATTCACATACTATGTTCAGGTTGTGAACTGAATAGTACAGGAGCAATCAAAATTTTACCTAGAAGGCAAGCATAACTAACTTGGTACACATACTATGTTCAGGGTGTGCGCCATCTTTATGCAAATACCTCGGGAGCACATGAAATTTATGTTGTTTTTTGTAAAATCCCAAAACGATACTATGCAAGTAGCTACTAATGGATAGCGCTGTTGGTATTGTACAGATTGTCTCAACAAAATCGCACCAAATGTGACAGTAGACATGCATTCAATAATAGGTACCGTAAGTTGTTCCCCACATAGAGAGCGGTCAGTATGCACACGATTTTGTCACGCAATTTGCTCTGAACAGACAGTCAGTCACAAATATATGAGGCAGTACTAAACCTTAATGACTAGTTTCACCTTTGCGCAAACACTGATTTTAGTCCGATTAGGGTTTTGAATCCACATCCTCTACTCTTACATGTCAATAGTTTATTGGAATACGCGCTCATCGTAGCCAATCACTTTCTAAAATTAGCGGGCTCTCAACGGCCAATTCACCTTTGTCACTATTTCCTAGCAGTAAATCGTGCCTGAGAAGATAAGAATCTCTGGTAAATACAGCGAAAGGCGCAAACGAATGAAATGGATTTAGTCCGTCAAAAAACGATATTTTAAACTAGGCTGCTTCAGATACTAAAACAAATGAAAGGGTTATATAAATGCCTTTAATAATTGAGTGGAGGTTTACCGTGTATCTGTCATTTTCAATAATTACCAAAACCGTATTGCGCCTTGTTATTGTAACATAAGAGAAACAGCGCCCGTGTAAATCAATGCTATTGGCGTGCTTTTAAGCATTTTTAATAATTAGAAAATAGGCTTGCACTGAACATGCTTTTGTTATTATATAGGACGAAAGCCGATGGATGGATTAATGCTATTTAATAGGGTTTAAAAGTTAAACTGATATAAGGTGTTTTTAAGCGTCGCACTCAAATATTGGCGGGATTTCAACGGTCAACTCGACAGTATCACCGCGGACAACTACATTATCGATATTTTCGAGCAAATAGATCGTGCCCCAGATAAGGATTTTGGTGAATACATTTAAAAATCGAAAAAAAAAATGGAATCCGTCCTGCATAAACCGTGGCTGCTTCGCACACTAAAAAAAATAAAGGAGATTAAACTCCTAACTAAGCGCTGGTTAACTTTGCCTCTACGCGTTCTTTAATAAGTACAAAAATCGGTACTTTCGTAGTATGTGGACCAGGATGGCGCACAACCTGAACCTAGTATTGTACCAGGTTAGGGTTGTTCAGGTTGTGCGTCATCTTGGTACGAATACATCCGGGGCCTTAAAATCAAACATTCGTTTCTTTGATACTAGGTGGACGAGCGTCAGCGGTAACTTCATGCATATTGCTTGTTTCTAAATTGAAGTGACTAATACTGGGACTATATTTGAACCAATAAAGACAACCTTAGTAGCAAGAAACTGCCGAACAGCGAGGTCGGGAAGTCTAAAATTGTTGACTTGCGCATTGTGATGAGCGATATGAGAATGCGCTCGCTATTCCATCATAAGTTGCAATGATAAGCTTCGCGTGTTAGGACTTAGAATCCCGTTATACGTATTCAAACAGAATGATATGGTTAGATTCTTTGCCAAAATTAATTCTGTAACGTTTTATCTGACCAAAGTCAAGTTTCCCAAGGCCGAGATCAACAATTTTTTACATATAAAAATCTTAAATATTTGTTTGCGAGTTTGAATCCCGTTCACGTAAAAGATAACTAACCAACTGTTATGAGTAGTCTAAATAGTCTATAATATGTCCATAAATATACATATTATAATATTAAATAACTGAACACTACACCGATTAATTTATTTATGTAATCCGGCATGAGCTAGTGTTATGCCCGACTCTCTTTTTGACTTTCGTACAGTTTCATTAGTTTACAATAGGCGCAAAGGTAAATATTACAATGTTATTGAATAATTAAATATTATTAACAAAACTACACCCCCTACAAAATATTATTTCTGTATTAGCTAGTGTTTTATGCCTAACTCGCCTTGTGGCTTTTTGTAGTTTAAATTGTATATAACGTGTAGGTGTCCATAAATACATTGTAATAATAATACTAATTAACTAAACAATATTAGTAAAACTATAACGAATACAAAATAATATTTCTGCTATATAGCCAGGGTTATGCTAAACTTGCTTCCTGACTTTTTTACAGTTTCATTAGTTTATAATAAGTGCTTAAACGAGAATATCGGTCGGAGACCGAAGACTTATCGGTCAGAGGTTAGGGGATCCCCCAAAACAGCGCTCTTACTCCATAGTGACACCGTGTGTCCCATCACTAATTAATTAATAACTCGCTAATTATACGACATAATTCATCGAAAATCAATAGGCTTCTGATCCGAGCTATGATGAATGCACATGCAAAATTTGGAACAGATTCAACTTCGCTTTCGTGAGATATCGCGTGCATCTAACAGACAAACAAACAGACAAATACCTATCAACATACTTACCGATCTTAAGATCGATAAGTAATAAATATTACAATAATACCCAATAACCGGACAATATTACTAAATTTACACCAAATTCAACGTCATATTTACTCCTCGAATACAACAGAATACACAAATATATTTCTTTAACGTTTCAGAAATATATTTGTTTTAGTGTGCAGCAGGACTCTTGGATAACTTAGGATAGTTATCTTCCCTCTTTCCACAGCACCCTTGCATTATATGCATACGGACCCCCCGGTACAAAAGCATAGAAAAAGGATAGGTACCGGTAGTTAGTCCCATAGAAACCCAATCGAAGGCACAACATTTAAAGTAACACCTATTTCTTGGAAAGAATAATCTTTAACGGAAACAATTTTTCGCGCCACTCGCTCAACGGCAATGGCTTTGAAACTGGGCATTTACGCATGAATTATGCATTTGGATGTCGCGTGAGGTTGGGATAAGTAGCATGGAAACGCTTGTTCGCCAATTTCACAGTTTAAAACTAATGGATATGAGCGCGATATACTTGTTAAAATTTCCTTAGCGGGTGGTACACGAATAGTGCGAGATGATTTCGATTGCCCCACGAGAAGCGTTCTCATAACTAGAGCTCGACCGATATCACTTTTTGGCACCGATACCGAAAACGATATATCGGCCAACTAGTGACCGATAACCGATATCGACATACCGATATCTACAACCTGAACCCGCAGTAAATACAAATAGAAAGAAAAATTCAGTTTTAGTCAATCAAAAGTTTATGTTGAAAAATAAAGCAGTCCTACAGAGTGCTTGCATCATCGATAAAAGTTTCACAGCAAATAATAAGAACACACATTAATACACAAAACAGAAGGCAATGTTTGAAAAAACCAAGCACAAAAGAAAAATGGCAGTCAGTAAAAAGCTTATAGAAGTCCATTTTGATCCATACAGTAGTAGGTTTGCACGTAATTTACGGAATTACGTAATTTTTTCGAGTTACGGGAGGGAAGTTACAAATTACGTAGTAAGTCGTAATTATTGGTCGAGCGCTTCCGCGTTTGAAAGGTGCTCCTTCAAAGCAGTCAATTCCGTCGATTATAAAAAGTGAAAGTTTAACAAGTAGAAGAAGTTAGAGTTCCGATATTCGCAGCCTTTTTTCTCTCTCTTGTTACGCAGGTGGGGGAAGGCATGACGCGTTGCCACCTCGTTTGAGCGTTTGGTTTCACGGTCAAAATGATATTATTATGAGCGTTATCACCGTAACGCAATTAAGACCGACAGACTTTTTTGTTTTCACGATTTGGTATCTTTTTTATTCGGCGCTGATAATGATAAATAAGAATGTGTGATAGTTGATTGTAATTCCGGAAGGCGTATTTTTCTTTCTCTCCGTGAAACAGACATGAAACGAATTTACCGCCGCTATGGGCTCTCAAAAGGAGAGAAGGCTACTTTCTTTTCCCGACTCAATCACTTTTATTAATACAAATCACAGCGCATTAAAAAACAAAAAAACAAAATAGAATTTATTAGCATTAATTTACAACGAGTTACAGGTAAGAATTTACCGCCAGCTAAATAATTAATATTTGATCTAAATTTATCGCAAATAATGTTATAACATTTAGGCCGCGAAATGATTTGATATAAAATGAAGCTTGGTAATCAGAATATCGTCAATAATTCAGCATCAATAATTATTATAAAATGCTAACTATGTAGCAAAGTCGGATAATGTAAAAAACGGAGCAATAACAAGTCTTCGTCGCGAGGCAAGCGCAGGTATAATCAAACGAGAGAATACGCTCGTCGTTGATTAATAACTTAGAAACCCGACATTTTTATTCAATACGAAAGTCGATTTTAAAAAGACAACTATCGTTTCATAAATATCCGTATACCAGTGTCGGTAATGATAAAATTGATCGCATAAAATTGGGACGGTTAATTTGCGAAGGTGATAAAGGAAAATTAAAGCCAGCACAAAAGATAAAAATCAGAATAAATTTAATTTGAATTCACTCCTTGGTATTTGCCTTTAACATCTGTCGCCGGCGTATAGTACTGTCGGTAATATGAAAACCAAACTTCGATGTCCCATTCGGAAAAGAAGTGGATTCAAATGGTTTTTATGATAGGTTTAAATGTGTGAAAAAATATCGCAATTATGGGTCATTAGTAATTACGTAATCGATTTTGCCACAATTACGGAATTACGTGCAAGCCTAGTGGGGACGCAAGATATTCGAGGGCGAGGATTTTGCACCGCACGAAGAGATAAAAGAGAGAGAGAGAAATATAGAAGAGAACTCTGTTCATTGAAAGGCAAAATGAGAGAAGCGAAAAAAAGAAAACGCTCGGCCGCAGATATTTCCCGGGGAAAAAGACTCATTTTTTAGAACGTGGAAAAGCGACTAACGCTGATATATATCGGCCAGATATATCGGCAAACACGCAATATCGGCCCGATATATCGGTTGGCCGATATATCGGTCGAGCTAACTGAGTATAGCAGTGGTTCCAAACCTTTCATAGCCCGTGGATCCCTTCCAGAGTCTTTTAGCACTCATGGCTCACATGAATTTTAGGGGTCGCAAAGAGTACACTAATTTCACACAAAGTATCATTTGTATTATTTATTCTTTTTTAGACTTTTGATTTGAATCACAATTGAAAAATTTGTGCGAAACATAAATCTCACGATTTCGATAAAATATATAGGATCAGAGGAGCGGCGCGCATGCATAACAATGCCGTTTTTGATCGTAAGACCCGATAAGAGTCGCGCTTAGGGCGTCGCGGAAAATTTTAATCGAGGTATCCATAAAGTCTCTTTACAATTTTAATTTTGTTATGAAGTCAGTTCCCAATATATCTCAACCATGTTTGTTGTTTTTTAATCAGTAATTGTTCAAGTATTTTTACTTCTTAACACATCTGTGAGGGCCAGAACAATATATGGTATCGATAAATTCCCTTTGCAGTTTAAAAAGAATGGAGAGTTTATAGACACCCTATACATTGGAAGGGGTCGCGATCTTATTAACAGTTTGGGAAGCTCTGCTCTAATATAGAAACTTGCCTTTAACTTGTTACTAAAGTGACCCGCGATTCGAGATTTGAGAACTTTGCCTACCCCGCTTAACTCATAACACCATGTTAAGATGTTTATTAGCCGTTCCAGAAGTGTGTGTCATTGAGGTAACTAATTTTGTTTGTCTATTTTACACTAATTTGTGTAAAGAGACTGAAAGTCCGAAACCTATAGGCAGGGGGTATATTCACTTGGATAACACAGATAGTCCCCGAACTCGTAATAGAACTAAAATAAGGAAAATCGGAATATAATTATGGCCTCACTCTATCCTGGTACACATACTTCATGAGTACCGTTTATTTGGTATCACGTTTCAATGAGGGCAATGTACTTTTACGATAAACTTAAAAAATCTATTTCCCGCCGATAGAAAATCGTTAATAATCGTATTATAATCAAAACACGATTAAAAATTTATGAGCAATTGTCTGGAAGTCTGAACTAAAAAGGGAGACAATAACTCCCAATCCTTCCACAAGTCTTTGCGCTAGTGTATCCGTATGCGTATGATGCAAGAATGCCGCAGCAGGAATAGAAGTACCATACTGTGCAATGCAAGTTCCGCTACACACTAACACAAAGGTATTTAAGTAACGTTTCGTCTGACCAAAATCAGGCTTCCTCAGACAAGCAGTTTACAACAATCAAGTAGTAATTTATGGTCTATCCTACCCTAATAGTTGAACAACGTATTTGGGTAATTTGACATCGGTGGTTCGGTTTTACGTATGCATAATTTAGCGTGCCTACTTTTTCCAGTATTTCAAGTAATATATTAAAACCTTGGATTATATCAAAGTCAATCCCGCAGTAAACTCGTTGTCTGTATACCGGAGATGTGGCACACGTGCTAAGCGTTGGAAATACGTACATAGCTATGTGCGAGCGAATTGCTGGAATCCTTGTTGCCGTAGGGTGGTTCACGTAACAGCTGGTCGGTTACGGCTTCCTCCACCATCAAGCCCTTGCTTTCACAACAAATAACTAACTAATCCAATACCCGACATGGAATGGTAAGCGGACGAGATGCCTTGGGTTACCATAAGACCAAGCCGTCTTATCGGCTTTCCTCTCCCCCGGAATAAATGAGTAAATCCTATTCTATAACTGTCTAATACGGACAGTAAAGTACGAAGGATATCATTCGAATAGCGTTAGGCAACCTATATTCATCCATATTTCTAACTGTTCTACGAAGAAGGTCATTTAATAGACCACTGGAGCCACATATCAATCATTATTCTTGACTTTCTATATTGCCGTCCAGTCTCTATCTACAGAGTATGCCATTCAAAAGCGTTCAGGACCATATATAAATACCCCTATTCCATACCACGGCCTAATAACCTCAACAGAGGGGGCTATTTATGTAGCGACTTGGACAATATAGCGACATCATTTCCTAACATGCTGCCTATAACCCTGCGTCAGAAGAACATTCGAATAACTATCAATTCGGGTCATATACCCATCCCTATTGCTACCTTCCTGCCACCTCCACGCTCAAAGCGATTACTCTACACGCGAAACAGCTTTTAGGCGTCCGTTACTACCCGACAACTTAATGCTAGGCGGAATATTCCACTCGAGTGTCGAGTTACTCGTAACCACAATGCTACGAGACAAAACAATGAGCGTTTTATTGTCTTGTGGATGTTTTGATAAAATACCACGATTTACGTTATACCAAACCAATTCAAAATGAACAAACAATAGACGTAAGTGAATCATAGATGGACCAGGTGGCCTAGCGTTGAGTTGTTAGTCTTACCGTAACTATGCCGTCATCACGGGTTAAAATCTAGGTTCCAGCGCCAATTTCCGCCAACTCCATGCTTCGGAAGTCTATGCTTCCAAAAACAAGTAACTGGCTAACTAATCCCATATCCTACGTGGACTGGTAACCGGACGAGAGGCTGTGATTTCGGACCCGTGACCCAATAACATTTGCAAAATATTTGATGCTTCTATTGAGAAGTTTCTCTTTGCACTTATAAACTAGTTTGAAAATGTCTTAATACTTGATGACCGCTGGCCGTGATTCACCATATGATTAGGCCGTATTATCGGGGTTCCTCTCCACCGGGATAAATATATGAACCCTACCCTATCCTTAAATGGAATCCTATCTTATCCTAACTTAAGCCGCAATTTACGTTATACACCAAACCAATTCAAATGTACAAGCAATAGACGTAAGTGAATCGTACATGGGCACGCACGGTGGCTTGTTGGTTAAAGCGTTGGACTTATGGGTGTAATACAGGGTGTCCATAAAGTCACTTTACAATTTCAATTTTGTTACGAAGTCAGTTCTCAATATACGAGTATCTTTACCGGGTTTATTGTTTTTTAATCAGTGGTTTTTTAGGTATTTTTACTTCATTTAATACATCTGTGAAGACCAAAAGAATATATGGTATCGATAAATTCCCTTTGCACTTAAAAATAAATTTAAGACTTCATGGACACCCTATGGATTGGTTAATGTAAAAATGAAGATTTCCGCTCTTCAAAACTTGTAGTAGCTTCATAAATGCATTGTTCGCAGTGAAAGGTGTATAAGACGTATAAAAAAAAATTACGTCCAGGCATGGTCAATCAATAATCAACGACCGGGCAGATCGGATTAGGACTCTATGATTTTTTGTTTTTGTAATGTAAATCAGGGTGATCAAAACAAACTTCGTATGCTGTATTAGGCCCATAATTGGGAGATTATCGTTGTCGGTAGCCATGTCGGCTAAGATTTTCGGGGCTTGCCTCGAGTTTTAAACCAGAAAACTGAATTTACAAACCTTATTCCATCAGAATATCGTATGTTACAAACACACGGGACTCACACAAACAGTAGAACACCGTGAACTAAAAGCTCGGACATAAACCGAAATCTGCGCAATTTTAGCGTGGACTAACAGAACGCTGCCGGCTTTTAAGTGTTTCACGACTCTTCGCAGTATTATCGTTATTCCTTGTTTCGACTTTGTTTACTGAAATACTCAATTCGAAATGAGACGTAAAATAGCGGTATTAGTATATTAAATATATTGCGATCCGTAGTAACCACACACGCTCCAGTTCATATGATTGGACTGGAGTGTAGACTAATAGAAAGTTGTTAAAGACTTACACAGATTAACAAATTTATTACGACTTTATTTACCAAACTACTCAATTCTCGAATCCGAAATGAAGCGTAAAATAACAGCATTGCTTCGTTACTAAGAGACTATTCTGTCACGTCACGCTTTGTTCAACTTCTGGCGATGAGTAGAGACTACACTTAAAATTACGAATGATCCTTTTTACGTTTGCAAATGATTACAATTGCCAATAATGCTCCCGATAAACTATCGGTACTGTCACAATATTATTATGTTAGGACAAATAAAACGAGTTTATTATTGTCTCGCCTTTCACAGATAGTGTGGTTCACGGAACTGCTAGTCGGTTACGGCTTCCATTCACCATCAAGTCCATGCATCCGGAACAAATACCTGGCTAACTAATTCCATATCCGACCTGGACTGGCAATTGGACGAATATCGTGGTTCGTCATACGATTGAGCCATGTTATCTGCTTCCCTCTCCCCCAGGATGAATGTGTAAAATCCTATCTTAAGTGTGTGGGACAATAACCTGTCTAATCCTAGCCTAGGATAATGGAAGAAAAGCGAATTAGGAAATTAATAGTGGAGCATTATCAGTACTAAACTAACGTTATCCTTTTTACTGCGCCATGGAAAGACACTAGGAAGGCTATAAATAAATATAGAGACTTACTGCGCCCTCGTTCGTCTCTTTCTTTTATGCCTCGATGGGCGAGTCCAGATGGGTTGCGAGTCCTGAGCTTCTCCTGACATTTTGGTGGTTATTTGTCGAGTTAATCAGCAAAAAATCCTTTTCACGGCAACTTCTTTATTCAAAATCTCTGTACATTCAGTAAAACCCTAAAAACCTAACTAAATTTAAGCTAAACTTGTTGAAAACAGCCACACATAGGCAGCAGGCGACAGCGTTAACTTGCTGCAAAAATCTTTTCAAAATGAACAAAATCTATCAGCTGTTTCACAAACAATAAAATAGCATTGTTACTCAACAATTGATTATTTCATAATAATAAATTTATTTATGGCGCAATAATTAAGCTTTATAAATAATGTAAAGTATAATTTTAGGCCATATTCCTCCAATTTGAGATTTAGATACATTTTTGCTCAATTTTTTTAAAGATAGTCAACCGCCATGGCACTGAACCGACCAATCATCAGCACCAAGGCAGGAACCACGACAAGCGTCGTACTTGGATATGATAAGGTGAGCCACGTGAAATAGCGATAACAGTACTTGGAGACCTGGAGAGGGGAAAACAAATTTTAATGCTGAACACCCAACTTCACCTACCTTTCCAGTCCACGTCGGGTATGGTAATCCGGTTATTTTTTTTTCGAAAGCATGAATTTGATGGTAGAGAAAGTCGTAACCGACCGCTTCGTGAGACTCGTTTCCTCTTAGTCGTTCTCCTGACAGTGTTAACTTGAATTGTTTCAAGTCTAGTGTCAACTGCTGAAGACTTTTTTTCAAGCTATATAAAGTTCTCCGAACTCTCCTGCCAGTACTATTTCTATTTTAATCGAGGGTTTGCGATGTTGCTTCTAGCATAGCCTACTTGCGTGAAATCCCAGCTGTGATTAATTTCAGTATCCGGAATGTCTGAGTTTGCGAAAGTTAGCAAAAAATGCAACTGCAGTTTCAAGTATTTTGTGGCGTCTAGAACTGCCGCAAAACCATGGTGGGATTTCCAAACCATGGTCGCTATGACCAAACCCACGGCGACTGACTTTTCAGCTGCCACAAACCAACAGCAGGCTGCCGTCGTAACGGCAGCAAAACGAATACCACCAATTTTGATGCCGTAACCACGGCATGTCGGCTGTAATGGCAGGGCTGCCCCTGATGGTGATAAATATTGGGTAAGTTGGAACGTTTTTCTTATGAATACAGTTTGGGTGGATTTGGGATTAGGTGTCAGGTTTATCTAGATGTAATTACGCATGATAAACTAAAATATTGTACATGACTTTGTAAAAATACCGGTAAAAGCGCCATAAAACCATGGCAGGAGACGGCGTGGTACGCTCGTGGCAGGAGCTGCCATGAAGTGGTCAGGACTGCGCCTCAAAAATTGAGCCGCAAAAATTTTAACAAACGAATGAGCAAAGTGAACAAACGTTTTTCAGATCCCAAATTCAACAACATATCATGCTACGTTTGAATTGAACATGCCAAAGAAAATAATATGCAGACAACGAAGGTTTCAACTGCCACCCTCTGAAGTAAGTGATAAATCAGACCTGAATCAGACTACGCCAGATACCACTAGCCAGGGACATAGCCAGTGGTGTAGCCAGAGGGTGATTTTGCGGGTCGACCCCCCCTCCCCCTCCTTTTGAAAAGTAAAAAAAATAAAATCATTTTTCTGTATCATAGATAGCAATATTCCGTAGCTTCAAATGCTTTTTAGACCCCAAGACTAATAAAAACACGCGTATTCCAACGTTCGATCGGATCCGCTAGCTGTTTCGATCTAACTTGGCAAATAAAAATACGCCCCTTGGCATAGCCAAGAATTTTTAAAGTGGTCGGGGGGGGGGGGGGGGGGGGTTCTAAAAATTTCTAATTTCCAAGTTAGACCGTAACAGCTAGCAGGTCCGTGTGGTTTTTAAAGTCATGGTGTTCTAAATAGCGTTTCAATCTACGAAAAATTACTATGTAGGGGGGTTGGGTCTGACCTTTAACCATTGGCTACGTCCCTGCTACTAACCCATAACGGTATTCGAGGGGTTGGGGCTCACTGACAGGAAGGTAATAATTTTGTTCTTGTTGGTATGGAAAATTCGCTTTGCTACTGGACCAATCGCTTTGCAGTAGTTAAAGATTGATTTTTTACTAGAAATCTATTGCTTTTATTTATTTCAAAAAGTTCTGTGGGCTCTATGTGATGGACTTTTCCCGACCTTTGACTCTCGAAAAATTCTTCTTATACTTTACCATTGCAAAATTTTAAGAGTGGTTTCGCGAGTTGGCGCCTGTAACATGGGGTATTTGTTTCAAACCCTCATTATAATTCATCGCATACAACAATCTGTTTTTTAAAAGTACCTTTAAAGAATTTTAGAAAAGTGTCTGAGCGGATGCAAAAAAGGTAGCATTATTACGTCACTTTTTGCATCTTGCTGAATGGCCAATGTCACGAAGTAAACAAGGAAGTCGATGATCGGGGCAGGGCGTTTCTTGTTTCCGTAACACTTCGTTTAGCTTTTCGTGTCCATAAATTTAAGAATCGCTCGTTTGTTTTTCTAAATTATTCCTTATGGAACTCGATATTCCACCGAATATTTTGTTGTTCAATTTCAATTCCTGGGAACACTTTTCATGAAATATGGGAACACTCCGTTCCGTCACGCTTGCCCGCAAATTTTCCATTGAATCCTGTACTCAGCTAAAAATATTCTCCAGATTTTTCATCGAACAGAGCGAAAATGCCCTTTGACCGTTCATCAAGCATCATTCGGAGACACGCCCAGTTTTTTAACCAATCAAGTTTATCAGCAAAGGAAATGCGAACTAAAGAACATCATGGTAAATTATATAAATATATACGTAAATATCGTAAATATTTAAATGATACATCAGGGCAAATTTCTGATGAAACTAAAGTATTCTTTGTCTATTTAAAAAAAAATATATTCAATATTCTATATAGACCTGACGCGGGAAAACTACGTCCCGCGGGCCAAATCCGGCCCGTTGTGTAATTCAATCTGGCCCGCCTGATGCTGCCACAACCAAACTAAAATGAAATTATTTCAAATAAAAATAGCTCAAGAAATTTGTTGAGATTGCAAATAAATTTAGTTTTAAAACGAGTCTTATTGTTTAACATTTTTGATTTTTCAACACTGAATATTCTTCATAAAATGTAAATTTTACGTCACACTTACATGGCCCGCCAGTCTACATGAGCAAATTCTTTGGCCCCATGTGCCAAAATCCTCGTCCTTCCTTGAATAGACGTTTTACACGCCTTTCTCTTCTACCAAGAATTTGTGATGATTTATTTTTCCGCCTCAATCTCTGTATACGCGAATTATTTTGACAGGGCATACATTTATTGAAATCGGTGCCAATTGGGCCACGTCAGCCATCTGATTCTCTGCATTCTTACGTTACCAATACGTCACAAATGCGAACAGATTATATGGATAGACATCACGCACTACATGACTGGACTAAAGTCCAGCAACCAGGATTACCCAAGCTCCCGCCCATAAAGAACGCCCCATGCAAGGCGAGTGAAAAAATTAGTGCAGTTCAGTTCCGTTATCTATGACTTTTTCTTTTAAAATGGGTGGTCGCCAGGAAAAAAAGAAAATTTGTCGAACAGCTATTCATTTTTACAAAGAATAACTTTTACAAAATTGTTTTCTCATGATGTTGATGTCAAAATAGATATCGGATAAATCTTGAAAGGTTTCAATCTAAATCTACCTAGAACATAAAAGAAATAAAAACGTATCGAAAAGAAACGAGAATATCGGTCAGAGACCGAAGACTTATCGATCGAAAGTTAGTGGATCCCAACACTGCGCTCTTACTCCATAGTGACACCTTGTGTCCCATCACTAATTAATTAATAACTCGCTAATTATACGACATAATTCGCCCAAAATCAATTGACTTCTGGTCCGAGATATGATGAATGCACATGCAAAATCTGGAGCAGATTCAATGTCGTGAGATATCGCGTGCATCTAACAGACAGACAGACAGACAGACAAACAGACAAATATCTATCAACATACTTACCGATTAAAATCGATAAGTAATGAGTAAGCACTCATTTTATTCGTGATCTCATCTGGCCTTAAAATTTTCTGCTTTTCTAGCGATCACTCTGTAGTAGCAAATATTTTTTGATGCTTGCGCGTGAATGTGTATGGAAATCAAACCAAGTGGTTTGCGATGCCTTGTTGGAATAGTCACAGTATAAAAGCGGTACCTTACTTCCTATAAGCGGCTTGTTAGCTGTAATGAAATGATCAATATTTCACTATCAGGCATGTACCTTCATAGTCAATACATCTAAAACAAATAACTGGCTAACTAAGCCCATAACCGACATGGACTAGTAAGCGGACGATAGGCCGTGGTTCGTCATATGATAAAAAAAGGGGATACCTGAAGTATGCGCACCAAGATGTTGCATAACCTGAACCCTATCCTGGTACACGACCTGAGTTCAGGTTGTGCGCCATCTTGGTGCGCATACTTCGGGAGGTCCCTTGTCCAATCGGCTTTCTTCTCTCCTAGGATAAATATTAAAATCTTATATTTACCTGGTTACCGATTCGAAGAAATATTCGATTCGAATCCGAAATCATCAGATATTTGAAAATACTTAGCTTCATATATATTATTAATTATCGATTCTAATCGGTAAGTATGTTGATAGGTATTTGTCTGTTAGTCTGTCTGTTTGTCTGTTAGATATTCGCGATATCTCACAAAGGCGTGGTTAAATCTGCTCCAAATTTTGCATGTGTATTCATCAAATCGGACGGACCAGAAGCCTATTGATTTTGGGCTAATTATGTCGTATAATTAGCGAGTTATTAATTGATTAGTGATGGGAAACAAGGTGTCATTATGGAGTAAGAGCGTTGTTTTGGGGATCCCCTAACTTTCGATCGATAAGTCTCCGGTCTCTGACCGATATTCTCGTTTATTTTTTTGTGCAGCAAGGGCATCTTCGTTGGTACGGACACAAGACAGAAGCGGCGTATCAATTCCAATGGCCAGGAAAAGATGGATCAAATATAAATCAAGTCAAGTTTAGAATAATCAAATAATTTTGTACAATTTACAAAATAAATCAGTGTTCCCTTTGGTATAAATTGTGATCGTATCATTACATTTTCGTGTAGTGCAGTTTTAGAACAATAAAAATAGAAAAATATGGAAATGAAAGACAAATTTTGATGATTTTAGCTGTAGGTAAGTAGCTGAAATGTAATTTTAACAATATATATTTGTTGGTTATAATATTAGAACAGTAAGGAAAGGGGGAAATTGGAGATTTTCAAATTTCGCCGATTATTGCTGTGTCAGGGGTCTCCAACATGCGGCCCGCCAGACCTTTTTTTGTGATCCGCGTCATGGCTAAAATTTTTCCTCAAAAAACTACGATGTTAACTATTAGTAAGTTTTATCGTGTCATTCATCATCAAAAGTCCGGTCCGACAAACTGTAAAAAGTGAAGGAACCCCCCCCCCCCCCACCCCCCCCCCCCCTGTTTTTCCATTTTACCACGTTCATGTGTTATTCTATTGTCAAATACAACAATTTCATTTTGCATGTTTCTTGTGACGAAATAAACGAGTTTCATTCAGTTCATTGTGCCCAAAGAAAATGTTTGCAAAGTCAATTGCTTATTCACGTTGCATACCTGCGACGTTCAGTCGATTCAGATACCCAGTTTTGTACCTAATTTATTGGTTTGCGGCCAGCGTGGTCAATAAATTTCAGAAATGAAATGGCCAGCGACATGTTTTGAGTTGGAGATCCCTGCTGTAAGTAGTTGAAATGTAAATGTAGAATTATATTTTCGCGGGGTATAATTTTAGTACAACAAGAAAGGAGAAAATTAAAGATTCGGATTGCAAATTTTGACGCAACATTACATTTTTGCGTTGCATGATTTTAGAACAATAAAAAGGGTGGAAATTAAAGATTTGGATGCTTTTAGGAGTAGAACTGGTCGTATTTTGCCAGAAACTTGAACGCCAATAATTGTATATTCAACATTCTAGTGACCTGCAATTTGGAGTCGTCTGTGAAGCTATCGCTAATTTAATTTCAAACAAGTAAACCACAGGTTGTGTGACACGAGCAAAAACCCGCAAAATCAAGTACTTGTACGTGACAAGATAAATATATGAAGAGTGTCAACAGCATAGGTCGTTGAAAACGAGTGTTTGTTTCGTGGCTTTGAGTGTTTCACGTTCCTGACAATTTTGAATTCAAGTTAAGAGTGAACATTTTTTTTTACAACTTGGAAGTCTCTGACCACGATTTCTCTTTTTTCAAGCACGCTTAGTTAAATGTATTACATCATCAGTGGGCAGTTTTCTACTATTTTTTACGCTTAGAACAATGCTCCGCACATACAGCCTCGACTAGATAATGGGACCGTATTCTATTCGATACAGCATTACCCACTCCTTTTATTGCTGATTATGCAGAACTTTGTTTGGAGCAAAAAAGGTATAGACACGTAGTATAAAAAAATCACGGAAACACTCTTAAGACACCCGGAAATAAATTTTATGCGACCTATGACCTCCATGGCTCATGTATTTAAACAATTATCTTTTGTCTCATCGCGCTTGCCTTGCGTGGGGTCGGTTAGATTTACTCGAAATTTATTGATTTGGAAGAAGTATTATCATTTTACACAAATATTTAAATAGTCAACCTGAAAACTAATTTGATCTCGGCACAGTCTCGGCCAACTCATTTGCCATGTAAGATAGTTATGTTTTGTTTATTTCATGTGTGGCCACAGGTAATTTCTTAAGTTTGGTCCTAGACACAAAAGTTAATGAGTTGCTACTCGAGTTAAATGTCTTGTTGCGTAATAATTCAGATTGTTTGCCTAAACTGAAATGCTAAACTGAAAGTAATGCGGAATACACCTAAGCTTGCGACTCTGTGTAGTTGACTGGTTCTCAGCCAGTAGGCCATAGCTCACTACTGGGCCACAGAGACATGTGTGCCAGGAACTTATAGAACATAGATAATTGCGCGGGTTATTCAAAAATTTAGTTTTATTTGTGTCACTGTGGTTCAATTTTGATTAGAGTAGCAATAAATGATGCTGCTGTTGTTTGCTGCAGATTGGTAATTTGTATTATTATTATTAAAATGAAAGTGCCTATGCTGCGGGAAGAATAGTTTGCTTTTCTTGTAGTTCTATTCCGGCATTAAAAAGTAAATGGGCCATGGAATTGTTGTGGAATTATTGTGCAAAAATGGTCCACGACAAAAAAGATTGAGGACCACTAGGCCAGTCTAATTTCCATTTTATTTCGGGGAGTAAAGGCGATAAGACGTAGCGAGATCGTCGCCCTCTAACTAAGTTGGGTATGGGTACAGCTTGTCAGATTATAGGCCAATTTTTTTTTTATATTTCCCCACATAAAGCCCGTGGATTGAATGAGTAGATTTTATTTTTATCCAGGGAGTGGAAAGCCGATAAGGTGTTATACAGCCATTATCCTGTCGGGCGAATATTGGGTTGGGTATTGAGATAGTTAATCAGTTTTAGGATTTGTTCAGTTTTAGGCGATGTACGGATGAGCTGGCGCCTTCGTTTATCATGTGGGTAAGCAATTACGGCGCGCGATTAAATGTTTCATCCGGCCCACGACTGCAGTTTTATGAATATGAATTTTCGTTGAAAATATCGATAAAAATCACGTCATAATGACCCAGATTGTTACATTGTGCTTCTTATCATTATATAAACGTTAGCCTAGCCGTTGGACTAGCTGTCGTGAATAAACTGTTTTTATTAATAGTTTTTCATATTGAGTTTTTTAGGCTCCGGCTAAGTAGCTTATCTCAGTAAGTTGCCCCTGTGGTTTAACTTTTTATTTATAACTTATCTTGTTCCGAGTTGTAAGGATAGGATTTTCTGGTGCTCCCGAAGTATGTGTATCAAGATGGCACACAACCTGAACAAAGTATGTGTACCAGGTTAGGGTTCACGTTGGGTGCTCCGGAAGTATGTGCACCAAAATGGCGCACAACTTGAACCCTAACCTGGTATACATACTATGTTCAGGTTTTGCGCTATCTTGGTTTACATTCTTCCGGATTGCCAATTTTTTACGACACTATTTCTTGACTCTCAGATGCGACGAAGTACAGTCAAAAAATTTGCAGATCAAGTCTGAATCGAACATTGTTGTGAAAAAACTTTTTTGTTCGTTTTAAAGTTTAATACTGTTAAAAAATTAAATAAATATGCTGGCAATCCTTCTAAAATCGATGACTGTACTTTTACTGGCCAACATTATTGGATATACGACGAGCCAGACACCCGATCCTGGTAAGTATTATCATATATATTAAGAAGTGTTCAATTAGAATGCGATCTTTTATATCATCAATTTACATACGGGAGCCCGTGGCCCCCGCAACCGCTTTGTGAGAGGGGCCATAATGCTAGGCTCAGAACTGATTTTACATTTCTCTTTACAAGAAAAGACCCTGTTCTTCATAGTTTCATCGCTTGATAAGGTTATTTCACAGAGTTTTTTCACTTCGTTGAGCTTGAATTATTTGAACATAATCGGATTTGAAATCGACCAATCATAATAACACTATAAATACCACTGAAATGATAAACATGGCTGAAACCCTTCAGGTGGGGGTCACTACCACGAGAAATAATAAAATGGGACCCACTGTTTTATATCCATATCGAGTAGAAAAAGCCGATAAAACGGCTTGAAAATATGGCGGACTAAGGCCCCTCGTTCCGTTCAACACCCATAGACATTTTCAATGAGCCTGGCTAAGCAGTTATGCTTGACGATGTAACTTCTAATATACCTTGGCTTTGAGCAAGATAATAAACAAGCAACGTCTTTTGATTGGGCTCATCGTGTAGAAACGACAATAAAAACTTGCTGAAATAAAACGTTAACTATATTAGTGCTGCAGGTCGGCCAGCCTGGATTCAAAACTTCCTGCCCACCACCTAAGGCAGTGGTTCCCATAACCGCGGACCGATTCCAAGCCGCATAACGATTTAATATGGCCCGCCGAACTCTAGTGAAATAGTTGAACACTCCATTTTTTTTAAACTTTTTGCGTTCTAGATACCAATTATTACGTCATTATCACAGTTTAATTACGTGAATCGTAACAATTCAATAATACCGGTATTTTAATTATACGTACCGGTATAGGCCACTTGCTGTCGCACCCGTTTCCCGGATCACAAATATACTTCCGCCTCTAATTTTGACCCCTGCCAATCAACGTTTGGAACCACAGACCTCAGGTGTAATAAAGATTTTTCTCTTTACGAAAAGTATAGTTTCTTCCATTATAGTGACTGTTATATAAAGTGAAGGCTTGAAGAAAACGCCGTACCTAATTGTGCGAGCAGTCATCTATGCTTTCCTATATTTTGCAATAACGATTTTCCTTTAATATTTTCCAGATTTCGAGGGGACTTTTCCCAAAGTAACAAAATACGGTGAGTATACTTCTTCGTTTTCATTTTGTTTTTTGAGGCATCGATTGCCATCAATAAAAGTCTTAACCTGAAATGGGCAAACTACGGCCCGCGTACCAAATCCGGCCCGTTGGATACCCTCAATCTGGCCCGTTTCATGCTGCCACAACCAAACTGAATTTTGATGTTTCAGCCATAGAAATTGCTAAAGGAATTACGGGGCTTACTTTTACGTCACACTGACATGGCCCCAGGTCCGAAAAATCAATCGAGAGTAACAATAAAAATTATTTAAAATTTGTATCTCGGCGTTGGTTTCGGGAACCGATAAATTTGATTCTCAACCCCAATATCGATAAGCAAACATGCCAGACTCTGACTCAGCAGTACTGCTTTTATGTAGTCATTGCCTTTTTTAAACTAAGGGGACGCTAACCAGTCAAAGTAGACCGCTGATGTTTGTCATGCCGCTAACCATCCTATAACTGAGGGGTCCGCAACTACTTTTTGGCACGACCTAAATTTTTTTTTTTTTTCAATTTCTCGCGACCCAAGCATTTGGTAAGCATGTAATTAGTTTGTAAAACTATTATTGACACTATCAATTTTCTTTTACAAAATTATATGAAACTTAGAAAAAAAAATCGCATTATCTGTTTTCCCAAGCAATTTCACACAGCTACTGCTAACCTCGCATTGCTACGAAACAATCCAATGGATGCTTCCCCGAGCATCGATTTCCCTATTTACTTCCGTAACATTCAGAAAAAAAGTCAACGATAACGTAACAATTGAAATTTTTGAAGCGGCTCAGGCGCAAACTGATTTACATGCTCAAAACCATAATTTTCATCAAAATATACAACTACGTGTCTCATACATGTAATAATAGCTCATTTTATATTAGTCTATCGCAGCTTTCCCGAGACTAATTTTAGGTTCTTGCAGCTAATCTACAACTCATCGGACGACATAATAACAATTAAAATACAAGCAAAACTGCAAAAACGAGGCAATGTTTACAACCATGCTTGAATATCCGTCTGAGCGAAATGCCGACTCTTCGAACCACTCGCAAAATAAACATCAAAACTTTTGCAATAGTAAAGTATAGGAAGAATTTTTCTGGGGTCAAGGGTCGGTGAAACGTCCATCAACTAGGTAATAAGATAGTAACAATGCAAACAAATGCGTAATGAATGTTTCCCCGAATTTTGATCCCTGGAAAATTCTTTCTATATTCTCTACCTGCGCAAAATCGTTGGTACTTATTTCGAGAGTGATTTTAACAAAAACGATGTAATAATCACAACCATGAAAATCTTCCGAGTGACACAAAAGTGTCTGAGCGGCTGCCAAAACGTTTATCGTTACGTCAAATTTTGCACTTATGCTGATTGGCCAATGTTACGGCAGTAAATAATAAAGTCGATGCTTGGGGAAACAACCATAGTTAGATGTTGTCGTACATAAGTACGCTACACAGACGCGATGCTTATATTTATAGCAAATTCAAATTGTTTTGCGACCCAATGTTGAGGGGTTTCGCGACCCAAATTTGGGTTGCGAACCCGTATTTGCGGACCCCTGCATAACTAAAGCAGTTGTTCCCGAAGCGCGACCCGCTGGCCAATTACGGCCCGCGTAACGATTTAATATGGCCCACCAGTTTATGTTAAACAGTTTATGTTTCTACTTTTTTACGTTCTCTACACAGCCAATTGTTACGTCATTATCACAGTTTGAGCACGTGTATATTCGTAACAATTCAATTATACCGGTATCCTAATTATAGTACTGCTATCGGCCACTTGCAGGCGCTCCCCTCTCGCGACCCGCGAATATTCATTAGTTTATAATTGTTACCCCCGGTCAATCAATTTGGGGGAACCCCTTATTTAAAGTGATGGAAATAAAAACCTTACGTGATTTCCCAATGTTGTCTCGATTAACTTTTTAAAGGTCTATATCGCTGTTTATCAACACAGCTCTTTCACGGCGCATATTGGCTTTCTTTTTGTAAAAAATATTGATCAAAGCTGGATCACACAACTGTACAAACAACCACTGAATCATTAACGATGTAAAGAGCAAGGACCTTCCCGGTTCGGAATTGTTTATTAGCATTGTATGACACCCCATGCAGTGGCGTATCTAGAGTCTGGCAGCCATGGGCGTTTGAAAAGGGGCGCTAAAAAATGAAATAGTTGAAATTAACTGAAACTCGTATTTTTACTCAAATGATGAGGTACAAGTATCTCATTTCAATAACAACATCATAAATTTTTAATCAACTATCAAGAGGAGCGAATTTTAAAACGTTGCTACGGGCGCCATATTACGTAGATATGCCACTATGCAAGGTGGTGGCATCAACTTTGAACCCGAGATGTGCAGTCTGTGATGCCAACAGTTGAGTCTAACACTCTAACACAGAGGTGGGCAATTACTTTTATGGGTGGGCCAGTTACAAAAAAAATAGACTCGGTTACTGGGCCGGAGCCTTAAACCTACAAAAGCTAGCCCAACAGCCAGGCTAATGTTTACATAATAATAGTAAGAACATTGTAACAATCGGGGTCATCATGACGTTATTCTCATCGATATTTTCAGCATAAATTTATATCCATAGAAAACTAGGCCTCTCATGTAGTTTCTTACCTAACATACCTCTAGTGGGCGTAGCATGACAATTTTTTCACGAATCAATCCTAACCCCCACCTGACTACATCATCCAAAAATTACGTCATTACGACGTCACAGTGACGTAATAGAGCTCTTCAAACTATACGAACTGCCATCCAAGACGCGCAAACGAGCACCCGAAATCGAACAGTTATTTCTCTCGTTTTCTCGTCGCAACGATTCCAATAGGAGAGAGACCGACAACGTCAGTCAGTTCTTTATCGCCGGCGCCAATGCCATTTTGGTCGATCGTGCGTATATTTGGCGAGCTCTATGACGTGATTGTGATGTCGTAGTGATTTAATTTTTGGATGGCGTAATCAGATGGAGGTTAGGATTGACATATCAAAAAATTGTTATGCTACGCCCACTAGAAGTGCGTTAGGTACGAAACTACACGAGACCCTAAAAACTATAGTCGTTATTTCAGCAGACACAAGTGGGCCGGAGAAAACACTTCTGTGGGACGGATCCGGCCCGCGAGCCGTAATTTTCCCAACCCCACTCTAACGTCCAGGCCACTGCAGCTTGCTATAAATCAATATATTTCTTCAGAGTTCGACTGCGCGGGATATAACCTCACTGAACAGACTCGCTACAGCAGCCCTTACACATGCAAGGAATACTATTGGTATGTAACAACTAATAATACGCAGATGAATTAACCTCCACCATTAAGTTTATTCTTCCGAAAATAAATAACTAACTAATCCCATACCCGACATGGAATGATAACTAGACGAGAGACCGTGGTTTTCCATACGGTTAAACCGTGTTATCGGCTTTCCTCTCCCCCGGGATAAATATGTAAATCCTATCCTAATACATTTTTACACTTGGTGACCTAAATGAATTGAACACATAAATTTATCAAATACTTACTTACACGAAAATAAAAAATAATTTTTTTTTTAGATTTGAACTTCTGTTTGTGTATGATTATACCCATTCGGATAGTTTGAATGGCTCTATTACGTCACTGTGACGTCGTAGTGACGTAATTTTTGAATGGCGTAGTCAGGTGGGGGTTAGGATTGGCACGTGAAAAAATTGTTATGCTACGCCCACATTATTCAATCTAATGATGATCTTCAATTTACAGGTGTGCTTATAATGAGTTCGAAGCATATAAAGTGACTTGCAAGACGCCCGGAGTAGTTTTTGATGTTGATCTTCAAGCTTGTAATCACCACTACTTGACAGCGCCACCGTGTGGAGTAAGTCCATTTAATGGAAATTTAAAAATTACTGTGGAATAAGCGTCAACATTAGGAATTCCTAGGGGACGAAATTTCCGATTTTTTATCGGTAATAATCAAGGTCAAAATTTGGTACTCCCGTAGTATGGGTACCAGGTTGGGGTCAGGCCCTAATTGTATTCCGATATTCCTTATTTTAGTTCTATAACGAGTTCGGTGACTATGAGAGTAGGCGAACCAAATGAGTTACCTCCATATTGATATACATACTTCTGGAGGGCCTAAAACTCCTGTATATTGGACTACTTGCTGGGTTACCTGTCATACACAGGGTGACAGGGTGACAAAAATTCGTCCGAAAAATTTCTTCTCTTTGTCTTTGTTTTTTAAATAGTTCCTATTGTGCTTGTAGTTCTCATTTATCATACAATGAAATTTATATAAACTTACAATTGTTATTATTATGAAATTGGGCGACATTTTCAATTCTTACCGCTGTGGGTCGGGCCAAAGAACGTATAAGTATAAGAAAGATAATACTAATATTCATTTCGTCGGTGAGGAAACTCGATAAGACGGTGAAGTAATATGACGATATAATATGGCTTTTGTCTGCTGTTATCGGTTATAATATTAGTTATATAAATCATATATGGCAACACTCTGAGCAAAGCTTTGAATAAGCATCACTGAGGAAGAGAAGATAGATGGAATATATGAATTTAATATCTAATTCGGGGAGAGGAGAGCCGTTAAGACGGTGAAGTAATATGACGATATAGGATAGCTCTTATCTGGTTACCAGTCCATGTCGGGTATAAGATTGGACAAAATGTTCCCGGAGTGATTTTACTTCGTTTTCCTTCACTCCGAGCAAAGCACGCACTGATACTTAAGGTGTTAATATATTATGAAATACTAAAATTTTCCTAGTTTCACATGGCCTGCCAAATTTATTACACCTTGGGTGAGGCTATTTACGGTTCCAAAAAAATTGTCTATTAACCTAAGTTTTATATATTTACAGACATACGTTTACCCATGAGAAGATGGCAGAATTTTTTCTCGTGCGATGTGCATTGAAGCGTATATCCTTGTTCGTATGAAGTGCACTGAAGTGTGGAAAAGTAGTTTTAAATATAAGTAGTTTGTTATAGAAAGTATTTTTGTACTTTTGTTGCACAATATATATTTTTATTATGATTGCCGTTTTTTTCTCTCTTGTTACTGGACATGAAGTGTATTACATGGGCTTCCGTAGTACGTGCATCAAGATGGCGCACAACCTGATAACCCTAACCTGGTGCACTACGGGAGCACCATTACATGTACATCACTTTGAAAAAAAAATGTTCTGGGGAAAACTTTTTTCTCCGCAACCAATGGACTAATTGATTTAAAATTTGTAGTAATTAAGGTTGAAAGCTGAACAACTCACCGGGCAGTGGTTCTCAAACTTTTTAAGCCGCGCCCCTTTTAAAATTTTGTCAAGTCTCGCGTCCCACCTCAAAAATAACGAGCTTACAATAATCTACAAATAACAGATAGTAAGGCGAAGTATGTTTTATTCAAAAAACAAGTTGAAAAAAGTAATGTGAATATTCAAAATATGACAGTCAAGATCAAATCTAACAAAAAATTATAATTTTAATGGACTTCAGGTCTCCTCAAAAAATTGCCCCCCCACCCCCCTTTGGGGCTGCACTGCACTAGAGCATAGGTTCTCAATGTAATTAAGTGATCCCTGCGATTACTCAGAACTCTGTACCTTAGTTGAGTTCAAACTCAAGATTTTTACCTTTTACTAAGGCTGGGCAATTCGAATCGAATAGTAAATTATTCGAATCGGTTCAGAGCAAAATTTGGAATCGCCGCCATCTTTTTTTCGCCAATGTTCGAGGTGAATCCCCCAATTTTTTTTATTGAAACCAGAAGTATGTGCACCAAGATGACGCACAACCTGAACATAGTATGTGTACCAGGTTAGGGCTCAGGTTGTGCGACATCTTGGTGCACATACTTCGGAAGCGTCATTTTTTAATCGCGATTTGAACATACGACCAATTTATGTAGTGAGTTATTGGTAAAACGTGTTTCTTATTGTGTGTGAACGCTCAGCAATCTGTCTGAGTGATGTATTCCATATTTTCAGTAATTCATTTATTGACAAGACAAATTAATAAATAGAAAAGTCGCATCCAATCTCCCAAGTATTAGAGATTTAAATCGAAAAAAATATTCGATTCGCTTCTGAAATCATCAGGTATTCGATTACCCAGCCTTACCCTTTACTCTGTAATAAACAACGAACCACTGGTGCATCGCGACCATATCTCTTTACGGGTTTATATTCCATTTACAAATCAAAGTATTTAATCTCTTTTTTCGGCGCTCCCGTAGTGTGTGAAACAAAATGGTGGACATCGGGACGTAGTATGTGTACCAGGTTAGGGTTAGGGCCTAATTTTATTACAATTTCCACTATTTTAGTTCTATAACGAGTTCGGCGACTAGCTAAGTGATTCCCGTAGTATTTGTACCTGAAATTATGGTCTGACTCTAACCTGGATTCTAGGGGGGTCCAAATTTAGGGAGTGGTATATATTTTGGAATTAGCGATAAAACTATTTGTAACTTATAATAATGTGTTATGTGATTGACTGATCATTTTCGCCGGAATATGAGCCACTTACTACATATTCAAATACAATTTTTTACGTTTCCCCCGAATAAGGCGATAGGGAAATCACTGGATACGCAATAAACCACTGCTATTATCATGACTGTGCATTGTCGGGTCGTTTGGAAGTTTATTTATAGAGATTAAATATCAGAGTATTTTACGCTTTATTTTCCTATTGTACAATCACGAATATTTTTTATAATAAATAGCTTTTGTAGCACCTCTGGACTGCTAATATTTTTACCGTTAGTCGTTTATTAAGATGGGTAAGAGGTGATATGACAATCGGAGCAATCTTAACAAAAATAGAATTTATGGGCGAAATATTTCATGGAAAATGTTCCAATAGGTAGAATTTTTGGTACTCCTGTAGTATGTGAACCAAGATGGCGGACACCTCACGCTAGATTTTTTCAATACATAATTAATGAAGTCTCAGTCAAAACAAAGTGACTAATTTGTGCTGGTGTCCGTGCACGTATAATGAAAGGGTTCTGCAGCCAGAATATACTATTCTAAGTAATTCAAGAGTCTTGTTGCACATTAACACAAATGTATTTTTTTAACGAAAGTGAATTATGCTTTTCTGAAGAAGTCCGACTTTGGAAAGACGAAACGTTACAGAAATACATGTATTTGAATTTGTTCTCCGTTATGCAACTGGTTCCATTTGAAATATAACGGTTGCCGATACGAAACAATTTTCACCGAGCAAAACAAAGGGTTTGTTTCCGCCCGGGCTCGAACCGGGGACTTTTCGCGTGTTAGGCGAACGTGATAACCACTACACTACGGAAACACCGCGAACCATGATCTGGATTTCTGCGATAGATAATTACCGATTTAACTATCCAAACAGAGTTACCCATTTGTGCTGATGGATACGTATGCAAGGGTGCTATGTTCCACGGGAACGCTTGCGTTAAGGCCACAGTTACATTAATGCTTGATAAGACAATTCAATCAGGATGGCAATTACATCAACAGCGCTTTATCATTTTATTGTCTTAGCTTTGAGTTAAACACTACACTACGCTCAACCAAAATATGTAATTCAGTCGAAATTTTGATTTTTGAAAAATAAAAGTCTGTCTCCGCGGAACGCTATTGGTTCCCTGTTCGGCATGACCTGCTTAGTTGAAAATATATTGCAGGGATGCTGCAGCCAGAAAAGAGTTGCCAGCTATGAAAAGTTTTAATAAAGGACATAGATTACCGTCATCATTTATTTTGTAACTTGCAGGAGAGACAGATATAATACAATGAAATAACTAAATAATAACTAAAACAATCTTCATGTGTTTTTCATTCAATGTATATTTAACATTGACCCAAACAATGTTAATAAAATTGTTATTTCTTTGGCTATTTGATCCGGACCAAAGCGAAATTAAAGAGAATAATTAAAAGCTTGCAAATACATAAACGGAGGCAATTTTTTTAAGAACGAAACAATATCAAACATAGTACTATAACTATCGGGCTAAACGACGTTGGAAAAAATGAAGGACAATAAGCATATTTTCTAAATGCTAAAAAGGACAAGAACCGAAAAGCTTGATTAAAGATTGTCCTTTGAAATAACGGACGGTTGGCAACCTTAAGCCAGAAGGAAGATGACTATTCAATGTGATTAAAGAGTCTTGCTGCATACCAATTCAATAGACGTTTCCCTGACCATTGACTCCGAAAAAGTCTCCCTATACTTCACCATTGGAAAAATTTTGCCGCCTATTTTCAGGAGTGTTTTAGAGAATTCTCGCTCATGAACTCGCTTACATATTGGTTTGAACATTTGACTAATTTATCTCGGTACTACTTACTTTTGGTGTGTTTACGTATGGTTCACTGCATCGCATCTATTGGATGATTACTTGATTACTTTATGTTATGGTTAACTGTCTAGAGCTTTAGTCTGTCTTTAGATCTGTTTTCAAAAGCTTGTTAATGGTGCTATAGTCATTGGGTATGAATAATCTATTTCCTAAGTTTCTTACATTGGGATAATCTGTTCTGACAAAGCCTCATTTAAATGTAAGTGAATTGGTATATTCTTGCTTTGTATTGTGCCTGGTTGCCTGTACTCATTTTAATATTCATCTTTATTGTTTGTCAGGTCACTTTGTCTTACTGATATCTGGATTAAATCACTTTGGGAGAAATCTATTCGTTTCATTTTGGGATATTAGTTAAAGAGACATAGTAGGCAAGGGTGATTTGTCAATGGGCAGAAATCCAAATTACATATTCAAAATTATCAGTATTATTAGAACCATTATTCCACGTGTCGCTTACGAGTACTGATAGCAAATTTCAGTCTATCGCATCGTTTGCGGTATCGAAATTTAATTAGTACAACTAAACTAAAGGTCCTCAGAAGACATATCGACAACTGAGTTAATTGATTTACCACTATTTTTCAGGAACACAACTGAAAAGTGGCAAATAACGGGCAACGCCACGAAAACACGGCCATTTTTACAACAATGCTTGGAAATCTGTCCGAGCAAAAGAAGTGTTTGAGCGACTGCATGAATTGCAGTTGACACGTCATTGTTGACTTATTGCTGATTGGTCGTTTTTAGGGACTTAAGCGAAAATATCGATTCCTGGGTAGACATCCATTTCTGAAACCTAGTTCAGTGGTTCCCAACCGCCGGTCCGCGAAGCTTTTTTGCTGGTCCGTGGGAAAATTTCATTTTGTTGTTTTTCTACCGTCTCAATCGCTGTACCGAAGCTGAAAAAGCGAATTTTAATTTGGTTTATTACGCAATTCTCTTCCGCCATTCTATTGCTGTTTGATAGGTGCGATATGGCCTGGCGATGTCTTGGCTCCGAGTAATCACACTTTTTGCTTTTTCGGTTCCGATTAATCGCGAAAGCGCTCCGCCAAATCTCGCAAGATTTAGAAACCTGAAAATCAGCATGCGTGCTTTTTCAGTTCTGCATGCTTTTCTTGATTAATATTACCATCCAAATAAAAGGTTACGAATATTTCTTTGTTTAAACCAGAAAACTGTCAAAAACAGTATGATATTCCAGAGCTTCACCATTACACCCACCGAGATATGAACTTGTTGCGACCCGGCATATGGTCACGAGTCGCGCATCAAAAGCATGAGTGGCTGAGATCTTTTCCGGGTGACGCACAGCGGGATTTTGAGCCTGGTGCCAAGTTAGCAACGATGTTCTTATTTTGTGACAGGCTGATTTTACATATTGAAATACTGAACAAAGCATTCAATGAAGTTATTACTAAAACAATAAACTGAAATTTAATTTTAATTAAAAGACGATTTTACTTTAATTACATTTAGCTGAAACTAAACTGAGAATTATTCCTCAGTGAATTCCATACATTTTCCAACTCATTTATATCTGTTACTTCCGCAATAAATAATTTGAAATTAATCGAAATTTATTCTTTT